GCAACTATTTCAAACCTTTATGGCTACTTTCATTTTCAGAGCAGAACAAAACAGCCTTAACAGAAAATCTGAAACTAAACATTTGGTTATTACATAAAGGCATAGGCATAGTTTGACTTCTGTATTTTGGGGGGCAGTTCCAGTCAGCTCCAATGGGGCTGCACATGGTGGAGCAAATTCCATGCCTTCCCAAGGCTTGCAGTTCCCTGACCCTCCAATTTACACACGTGCTAAAGGCCATAGTCTACCATCAGTCTTTGTACAAACCTGTCATTGACATAATTAGGAGATCCACTGTAGCTGATATATATATATATAAAAAACACGGAATATAAAGGATAAGCACTAGCTGATCGAAAAATTAACTGCTACAGAAAGAGTAAGAGTTCAGCTCCCACCCCTGGTAACTTTATCATTGGATTGTCTCACTTTTCTTGCCACTCCTTTTGTGAGAAATTGTTCTATGTTTATGTTTTCCACTAATCCAGAATGGAGGCTAGGTACAGAAGGGCGCATGGGTTATGGGACTGGGATGCAAGAGATGGTATGAGGTCTGGGAAGGAGTTTGGGTGAAGGAGGGTGTTGTGACCTGGGTCAGAGGATTGGGGTGTAGGGTCTGGGAGGGTGTATGTGTAACCCACACATGGGGGCTATGTCTACACTGCTTCCTCTTGAGCACAAAAATATGCAAATGAGGCAAAGCATGGAATATCACAGCATCTCATTTGCATAATTAATGAGGCTCCGTTTTTGTGTAAGAGGCTTTTGCGCAAAAAGGAGCCATCTACACGGCTCCTTTTTGCACAAAAAACCCCTCTTGCGCAAAAGCCTTTTGCGCAAAAATGGAACATCTTTAATTATGCAAATGAGGCACTGCGATAGTCCATGCTTAGCCTCATTTGCATATTTTTGCACAAGAGGGGGCAGTCTAGACATAGCCCTAGTGTGGTTCACTGTCCCATGCAGTGCTACCTAGACCACAACAACAGATAAGAACAAGAGACCTCCATAGCATGGGCTAAGAAGTAACTATCTTTTAGCTCAAAGGGTAGAGGGTCCTATACTAAACTTCAGAGGTCCCAGGTTCAAATCTGTCTGGTGGTGGTTACATCTGGGTGCAATACAGGATTCTGGCCTGGGGGAGGGCAATAAGAGGGGGTATAGGGAGTTGTGACAGGGAGCAAGGAGGTGCAGAGGGTTTGGATGGTGACCTGGAGGAGGGAGTTGGGGTGCAGGAGGGGCTGGGATGCCAGAGGCAGGCTTGGCCAAGGAGGCATTTACCTAAGTGTCTCCCAGCCAGCACCCCAAAGGCAGGCTGAGCTCCAGATCACTTTAAACTGCAGGCTTGTTCCCACCATGAGGCGCTCAGCTCCAGGAAGGGCAAAAGGCTTGCACTGCCCCCATGCCAATCTCTTAGCTCCTATTGGCTGGTTGTTTCCAGCCAATAGGAGCTGAGAGATTGGCTGAGGTCAGTTTCTATTGGTTGGTTCTTTTTGGACACCAGGAGCTGAAGATTGGGCTAGGGAGAGGGAGATCACAGGAAGCCTTCCCCTCCCTCCAGAGCAGAGAAGTGCAGGACTTCATTTTAAATCCGCAGCAGCTGTGTGCCTGAGAGTCCCGCAGGGTGGTCCGTGGGCCAGATCTCCTGGCTCCGTGGGCGGATCTGCCCCTCAGGCCGTATTTTGCCCATCCCTGATCTAAAAGATAGGGAATCCGGGCTAAACTCCTCCCCCCATAATTTAAATTAATTAATGCAAAAGTATAAGGCCAAGGCAGCCTCATAATCTGGTCACTAAGGGTATGTATGTGTACACTACCACATTTTGTCAACAAAAAAGTGCCTTTTAGCAACAAAACAAAGAGAGCATACACACAGCAATGTGATTTTTGTCAGGAAAAACACCCAGTTTCAGAGAAAAAAACTTCCACTCCCACAAGATAGGTTTTTCTTTTTCCTTCTAAAGTAAAACTCTGATGGTCCGGCATTTGATGGTCCGGCACTCCTGATGGTCCGGCACCATCAGGAACCCGGAAGTGCTCCGGGCAGCCGGACCATTGGAGCTGCTCTGCCCCCAGCTTCCCC